CGTCAGCACATCAATATCCAAGCAACCCGCGGTGGGGATGCCACGTCAGCAAAAGTGTCCTCTGTCCTTTGCACGTGCCACTTCCACGTGTCTTGTTGTAATACCGCCGCCGTACCAGCCAATCGAGACAATGCCGGGTCAGCCAATGGAGTCAATGCCACATCAGCAGGTGATCACCACGTCGGATGTGATGAACCTTCCCTGCCACGTCAGCAATCAGCCTCGTCGTCCAAGGCCACGTCAGCACCTTATCGGGACCAAGTCGCGCATTCTGCAGTGACATAGTCCAGCAGGGGATCACGACCTCAATATCGCGATCCTGGCTGGTCCACGGTCACTCCAGGTCGGGATCCCGACTGCCACATCAGCACGCTCGTCGGGATCGGGTCTTCTCGCCAGCAAGTCTGTTCCACGTCATTCCACGTCAGCCTCACCAGCAATCGTCGTTGTTGTCCACATCAGATCTCGTAGTCATCACCTCATACATGCGCGTGTCACTTACCTGGTGCGCATCATCATCAGGAGTATGCTCCGATACCAAATTGCAATGAACCCAGATCGTGGAGACAGTCGTCAACAATGCAAGCCCGGAATGTCAACCAGCTGATGATTACCAATAGTCGTATCTAGACAGAATGAGATGAGATAATCATACATAGACGAAGGAAGAGAGGAGGGAGATTAGACAAAGGAGAGGAGATAAATACAAGGCCCACTCCTACTTCGGGCTCCCTCCTCGATCACCACCTCAATAACCAATACTCTGAACGAGTATCTGAAGTAACCTCAATGTGCCACGTGGCATGTCTAATTAGTCCCTCATCAGCACTCGAGCAATGTCGACATGAAGACAATCAGGTAAGTATCTACGATCTCTCTCCACAGTCCTGATCTCCTCCCGATTGACGATGAATAAGAACAGCAGTGTCGGTCGCATGGCCCAGCCACGTCAGCAGATATAACAGGTGGCAGCGGCCACATCAGCACCAATGCGTGGCAGCTGCCACATCAGCATGCCAAGAAGACAGGTGCAAGCCAGCCACCATGCCGGACCAGCAGCGCGTCGCCGTAAACACAATGCCGGCACGAAGCCAGCGCTCAACCAGCATCACAACGTCGAGCCAGAGTTGTCGTCAACGTCACAACGTTGTCGTCAACGCGTGAAAACAGCATCGAGGTAAGACAGAATGAATCAAAGCCCGGAAGTCAGCGCTTATGTAGTGTTGATGCCGGGTCTGGACCCTGGATGCTGCATCCCTCAACCGTCCAGATCTAAATGCAAACGAGGGCCCAGATTGGTCTGAAGCTGAATTCCCTCCGGCCTGGATGCTGTCTGGGTACCTGCGCACAAGCAAGTGAGTGTATCCAACCAAGGGCCTGGGTGCGGTACCTTTGACTCTACAGTTGACTTTGACTCTTGAAATTCCTGTGTGTCACACAGCCATACGCGACAGACTCAGGCCTGGGCGTGGCTTGGTCACACAGCCCAGTGCAGACCAACTCAGGTCTGCGTTGCCTGGGGCTGAGTTCTGAGCCCCAGGCTACTTCTGAACAGGGTTATTACAAAATAGTCTGTCCTCATAATACAATTTCTTTTGTGCTCATTATCATCCTTTTTTTGTCATGTGCGCTCGTTTTCTTCAGTCTTGCACTTGTACGCTTTTCTGTCTCTCACAATTTCGCCATGAAGCTATCTTTGCGGTTGAAAAAGTCATGATGAAGGAGCTTTAGATTTGGGAAAGAAGGGAGGAGCTCAGTACCCGCGCGAGCAGAGACTCTCTCTCTCTCTCTCTCTCTCTCTCTCTCTCTCTCTCTCTCTCTCTCTCTCTCTCTCTCTGTCTCTCATCAGTACCCGCGCGAGCACCTTCTTTCTTATTACCCTAATACAACGCACTCTCATCAGGGCTGTACAATATGTAATGGATCACAAACATAGTCATTGCGGAAGACAGAAACAAGTACAAGTGCAAGAGGGAAAAGAACGAGAGCACTGCAGACTGTTCTTGACCACCACCGGATGGCAACTGCTAAGCAAGAAGGGAGCATTATCAGATTCTTCTGATTCTTCTTCAATGAACGTCTGTCATCAGCCCTGTTACAGGCTCTCCGAACAACCACACACCCACTTTGTACTAGTTGTAGTAAGTTTGTACCATTTCTAATAGGTTCTGGCTTAGACGATGAACGTAGTCGCATGAAAAAAAAAAAAAAAAAAAAAAAAAAAAAAAAAAAAAAAAAAAAANTTTCGGTGCCACCACCAGATGGCAACTGCTAAGCAAGAAGGAAGCATCATCTTCTCAGACTGATTCTTTTTCAACGAACGTCTGTCATCAGGCGTGTTACAGGCTCTCCGAAAAAACACACACCCACTTTGTACCACTTCTTATAGGTTCTGTCTCAGGCATTGGAAGTACTCGCACAAAAAAAGGAAAAAAAAAAAAAAAAAAAAACAGAAAGGCATACACAACCAACAGGGAGAAAGACAAACATAAAACTGATTGTGTGTGTGTGTGTGTGTGTGTGTGTGTGTGTGTGTGTGTGTGTGTGTGTGTGTGTGTGTGTGTATGAGAGTGTGTGCGTGTGTGTAGCATAGACTATATATAACCACATCAGAAGAGGCTAACCCGTATGGAAAAAACTCCACATAAGTGTGTGGTACAAAGATCCTGATCATAGGCTCAGCCCCAAAGCATCCGTCCTTGAAAAGAGAAAAGGGAAACATCCAGTCTTTACATGTCCAAGAGGAGGTGTGTGAAAGTCTCAAGTGAGAATGCAAATGACATTAACATGACGATTGCCATAAAACCCATTGTCGTACACCGCGCATAAATTCGACGTAATTACAAACAAGAAAACAAGGATCAGGTCGATCGGATCAAGACCGACACCCAGTTACACATAGAGCTGCCTCTTTTTGTTTTGTTTTTTTCTCCAATGCCCGCCCGGCCAAGCGGTGTGAGGGATATGAGCATCACACCCTACTTTCCCCTTGCGCCGCTGGCGGATGAGTCCTTTCTATTGGTGAGGGAGAGCTGCACTGCAGCTTCTCCAGACCAGGCCCAGTGTCCCCTGACATTGACCACGGTAACTGTTTTTTTTTCACGTTCCTTTTTTTTAGACCACCGTAACTGAACACAACATAGGAAAAAAAAAAAGAAAAAAAAACATAGGGCCGCATTATGTATTACAGTACTTATTGAGAAAAAGTGTGAGTTCAGTCCGGGCATCATCAGACAGAAAGCCTGCCATGGATGCCATTGAAGAACAGGTGCATTAGATGTAACAACATCCCCAACATCCCGACCCTCAGCTTTTCTCGCCAAGCAGCGGCTCAAACAGCCAGAACACAGCCCCAGCCTTGTGCAAATTTGTTCCTCTCCAGGCTCTCCTCCTACTCCGAAATTCCGCTGCTCCTGCTCCGGCAGCCGGATGGACCACAATGGCTTGCGACATGCAAGCCGAAAAAGAGAGAGGAAGTGCAACGCTGGCAGTTCAGAAAAGCTTGGCGCGCACTGCAGCTCCTCCTCCAGTCTCTGACAGTCTGTGTGTGTGCTGGCGATTCAATCATGCAATGATCCTCATCAAGATGCCATAGCAAGATAGCAAGATGGAGAGGCCAAAAAAAAAAAAAAAAAAGGAACGCTTGGCCAATGGATGGACTTATGTGTCATCATCGGAAATGTAAAGAGAACTTGAGGGCATACTCACACCACTACGTTTTTGCGCATTTTTGGACGGAACTGTGGCCAGATTCATCCAGGTATGAGGTGAATGCGGTGAGATACATTTGAGATACTGCTAGTGTGGGTACGCCCTGACTCTCCGACCCTCTCTCACGGATCATTGTGTCATTGTTGAACCAGCACATCAACTTGATAAGGACCTTCCCATTCCCATAAACCACCAGCACTTGGCCCCCATTACATTGGCCGCAGGCCCGTGATCTACATGCGCACCCACTTTCTGGCTTCCGGGCTACCGGACGGACCACAATTATGGCTGGCCGCGGCAGCCAAGAGAAAAGGAAATCGTTGCGCTGGCGGTTGGGCGAAGCTCGGTGCGCAGGCCACTCTTTTTTTTTTTAGCCTTGTACGGAAGTGCCTCGAAAGTTCAAGTACTTGTGGACCAGTGGTGGTATTAGAATCATGAAAACTCGGCGTACGGCATCCTCTCTCTCGTCTGCCTGCGTTTATATCCTTTGCTACCTGACTCCCTAAGTTTCCTCCATGATCTCTTCGTAGTATCTCCATTTCAATTTTAAAGTCAACATCCTCCATCCATCCATTCCTCACCCTTCTTCTCTAGCAGAGCACAATGCACATTCCCCCCTAAGGACCTAAGGCTTAACCGAATTTCGACATCCTCCATCCGTGCCTCACACTTAGCTTACTCTGTAGCAGCGGATAATCCCCCTCGGGGTCGGCCCATAATCCGTAGGTATCCCTTTTAATTAACACTATCGTCTTGCTTCCCTGCCTGATCACCATCTGCCTGATTGGCCGACTGTGGCGAATATGAAAGAAGTGGTTGGGATCCCATTCCAATTCCCACACAAGGCTGCTCTCACCCCCAGTGATCGAATGGCATGCCACTTTGTCTCCCTCACCAATGTAAAGCTGAATAACGACGTAATCACATAATAGTTATTATTCTTTATCTAGACATCTACAAGCTTTGTGATCTTGGGCCAAAAACACTAATAAGCAAAAAGTTAACTAAGTATCCACGGCAGTCTCAAAGCAAAGAAGCCTCATCAGTTGGGGGCAGCTTCGCAACTTGCGCCGGGACAAAAATCTGCAGACCGTAAAGAATCTAAAGATAGATAGATAGATAGATAGATAGATAGATAGATAGATCGATAGATGGATAGATAGATAGATAGATATAGATAGATAGATAGATAAACGGATAGATACATAGATAGATAGATAGATAGATAGGTGATAACGAAAAAGGTGGGAGAATGAAGTACAGTGAGGGGGTTGCGCTTCCAAGCGCCGAGCGGTGTAAGATTCCGCACGAATTGAATCGTTCCTACTTAAATGATGGGCTCATTCGCGACCAGAATGCAGCACACTAGACTAGATTGCAATTCAACAGTGAGCACTGAGCAGTGAACACCATGATGTCCGCAGGTGGCCAACAGCCTTACTAGGACTTGATGGGGTCAACACCGGCATTTTTGGCAGACCGTAACGAACTTAATACCTGCAAATTTTGACTCAGAAGTGGCACTGGCACATGCTAAACAGTCTGCTTTCAATTGCGCATCCTTCCACTTAGTGTGCACCTCCCCTGCAGCGTAAGGGACGCTGTTCCTGTGAAGTGTCGAGTCAACACGGCTGCAGTATTTTTTGTAGTCGTTGGCCAAATGCCGGCCGGCAAAAGATTCGGCAGGAGCAGCGCAAGAACAGCAGTCGAGGTAGAAAAGAGGGGAACACTCAGTCCGCTTGCACAGCGCATACTCCGCATCACACGCACGACGACATGCTGGCCGATAAGAGTTGCACGTGCCAATGCACTGCAAAACCTTCTTGTTGCATACCTCGCATCCAATAAGTGTGAGCAGCTGAAGACGTACAGCTCTCTGGAGCTGAACTGATGTCTTGAAGGGAGGGAGACCATCGTCTGCCCGAAGCTTGTTGAGATAAGCGACCACTTTATTGCCCTCGCGTATGGTACAGTCCTGACTGGGTGGCACATCAAGATCTGGAGCAGTGCAGCTGGTATCAAATGTCAAAGATGGATCGTTGGGACTGGCAGTGGGTGGAATCGGAGGTCGAGTGACACTGTAATTTCGAGCTGACTGCGATGGCTGCGATTTCGGCACTGGAGCCGGACCCTTAGGGGGCTGTGCACTGGGAGGGGTTGGGGCCTCTGACGATCTGGGAGGAGTGGGAGGAGTGGGCGGAGTGGGAGGCGTGGGAGGCGTGGGAGGAGTGGGAGGAGTGGGTGGGGTTGGGGGCATCTCTGGGCCATACGTGTAGTCTGGACTATTCTGAAGGACCCTACGATGTTCCGCGACTCGAGCGTCATCCACCTTCTCCTCATTGGGCTTTTCCTCGTGAAAGATTTGTCTCTTTCCACTTGACCGGTTCCCATCTGTGGTGCCTGGCTCTTCTTCATGCATACGAGATTCATGAGAATTGTCATCCTGTACAGCACACCCCAGCTGCCCTGCTCCTGCTTGGACAGCACCCAGTACAAGTACAGTCAGCAGAAGTAGAGTTGAACTCCATTGCCAGAATCGCCGATCCTGATGAACGATACCCATTGGTGATGGCGGAGAATTCGCCAAGGAATGAACAGATAAAATTATTCCTCCTTGGAGATCCCTCCCCCTTTTCTCCTATTTCTCCTATTCTTCTTCCTCTTCTGCTGCTGCTGCTGATCCTGCACCAGTAAGTACGTTGACATCACCAACAATTCCGTCAGACTGTAATCCATTCCATCAACGGCTCAACTCACACAGGAAGAAGAAGGGCTCCGGAAGAAGAAGCCACCCCCCCGCACAGGCGACAGAACTACAACGCTGGCTGGGGTGCCGACCCACTTAGCGGCACATGGAGTAAGAACAACCTCAGGCTGATGCAAACTTGAATGATGGGGGATAATTGGTGGGAGGCCCTCACACCAAAACCTTTTTGGTAAAGGGCCCCCGAAACTTTCCCATGGAAGGCCTTGCTGGGCAACCGGTAGCCTAATTAGTAATTTGAAACTAAAAATATATATATTTTGACCGCTTTTCACAACAAAAAAAAACAATTCCACAATAACCGACGGGCCTAGCTCAGAGCATGCTCACACTACGATCATTACAGATACATTCAAGCCGTCCAGTATTTTTTCCAGAGTACATTCAAGCCGTCCAGTATTTTTTCCAGACTGTGGCATTCTTAGGGCTAAATACATATAGGTTTCGACTTCGTTCAAAAAATACAAAATGTCCGTTTTAACGAAATGTCTGAGCCTATTGGTTCCAACTGGTCCCAATTGATTCAATTGATTCCAATTGGGGAACCGTCCTACAACCAATATTATAGCTCTTAGTCCGGGGGCAAGGTCCCACTTGCCCAAATTAGGAGATATAAGCCGTTGATCCCTGCTATCTACGGTCAGTATCTCTTAATTCGTGCAAGTGGGACCTAGCCCAGGTGCAACTGGGACCTCCTGCACAGAATTAAAGACTCCATTTTCCAAATGATCTTGGGCACCGGGCCTTTTTGTCGAAAAAAGAAGGCGAAAACTCAAGATGCATTACTTCAATGCCTTGGGTCAAAAAAAGAAAAAGAAAAGAAAAGAAAAGGAAAGGACAGTAACGGGCCTACCGTCTTTCCGACGGACGAGTTTTTGAAAAAAAATGATGATTAAAAAATGATGATTCGAATAGAATGCACGTACGTTGTATTCGAATATCACGGCTGTTTGAAAAGACCAGGTGTGAGTTGTTTTAGAATAGAAAACAGTTCAAAACACCCTTCGCCGCCGCCGTGTATTCTTTGGCAACGCACATCATGGCTTAGGTTAGTATGAAGAGTGAAGACGGTCTCTTCGTTGGTACTACAGCCATGAAGAGCTGTTGGAAAATAGGGGTCCAAGTCCGAATCCAGATGCAACCCCAGATCAACAGAGTAAAGTATTTCTGAAGTAAAGGGCGGGGGGGGGGGGGGGGGAGGGAAGTAATGAACTACTTGGATACTAGTGGGGACTGCTCATATCACCCCCTCTAGTAGACAGCCAAGGCTTTCCCTAGGGAAAAAGGAAAAAAAAAGTACTTGGACGGTTGGACCTGTCAGCTCACTGATCATACCACGAGGCTTTACCCAGATTAGGCTTTACTGGAAACTGGGTCCAGTGTCCCATGTACGGCAACTTCAACCAAAAAAGAAAATCGCAGCTGGACTAACAAATTCCAAAACCAGAAATAAGAGAGGCAACCACTAAGCAAATTAACCAGTTATTCTGCGATTCTGACTGGGAGCCTTACCCAGCTTCGCTTATTAAAGATATTACAGAAAAGAGGACAGTTGTCGGACTACCTCCAATGAAGAGACTTGCTTACATTGGCAGGAGACCATAGGTCCATAGCCTAATGAGACGAACCAAGAAACGACAAATACCCAATGATCTAAAGCAGAGTTCTATCTGGAGCAGGTGATTTGCAGAAATCCGAAGGAAGATCCATGAAAACCAAAAGAGAGGCCCGTCAGACCAGCTAATAGCCGTGTGGAGCCTGGGTTGTCATTACGAGGTTTCCCACCTTGTACCCTTGAGACTCTGTAGTGAGTACCATATTCCAGGTACTCTAGATCTCAATGGGTACAACCCAGATTTGCTCTTTTATCAGCTAAATGCTAATCGGCCGTGCCCTAAGTAGCTCAGCAACTTTGCCACAACCACTAGTAGGTCTCCCACTACCTCCAGTCGTTCCGTTGCCTGCTACGGACAAGCCCAGTATAGATACCAATGGAGAAGAACTTAGCAAGGAACTATCAGGTGTGTTACAAACTAGAGGCAACCAAGCAAAGGAAAGAACACCAACAATCTAAGTTTACACCGTAATGGAGCCAAGCAACAGAAGGAACACCAACAATCTAAGTTCACACCGTAGTGAAGCCAAGCAACAGAAAAAGCACCAACACTCTAGGTTCATACTGTAGTGAAGCCAAGCAACAGAAAGAGCACCAAAAACTGTTACAGCAAGAAAGACTGTAAACTATGTGTTCGACGGCCTACCGGTTCATAATTGGCAAAAAGGGGAGGTGGCCTGCGGTAGTGGTTCCGTGGTACCTCCCTTTTTCCCGTGGCCTGGCAGCAGGCACTGGTAGCAGGCCCTTTGGTTTTTTTTTTCCCCTTTTTGGCTTCTGGCAGACTCTGTTCAGGTTGGAAAACCATCCCACTTGGTCGGCACAAGAAAAGCCACCTACCGTGCCATGCACCCCGTTAACACCCGCCCCCCCCTCTCTCTCTCTCTCTCTCTCTCTCTCTCTCTCTCTCTCTCTGTCTCTCTCTCTCTCTCTCTCTCTCTCTCTCTCTCTCTCTGCTGCTCGGCCCACCAAAGTGCGAATGTATCTGGTCCAGTGTCTGCGTCAGATACATTTCCACCATTTTCTTTTGGCCATGCTAATCTTCTCTGTATCGTTGCAATCCCCTCTCTCTCCCTCTCTCTCTCTCTCCCTCTCTCTCTCTCTCTCTCTCTCCCTTTCTCTCTCTCCCCCCGGCCCCCCCCCCCAACAGGCCGGGGTTGAAAACGTGACACGTTCTATACCAACCAACCGTTGTACTCTCTCTCTCTCTGTGTGCAAGGTGGGAGCACGGCCCCTGAAGGAACCACTGTTGCTGCACAATTTCGAGAACAGTGGCCAGTGTCCAGGGCTACCGCCCCGAACCGAGTCCCGCAGAAGCCAGAAACGGGAGAAAAAAAAAAAAAAAAAAAAAGGGAGGGCC